TGCAACATCAATTGCTGTGTTTTTAAAATATACAGTGCTGAAATAATAATTAAACCATAATTAAAACAAAATTCAAAAGTTTTAACACATTCCCACATTATAAGAAACACGTACGGCCATTTCCCTGAAATAAAAAAATCTATGGGAGAATCAAAATGTTAACTCAAGTAAAAGTAAACAAACAAACTAAAACCAAAACAAATCTAACAGCTTATGTATCTTCAATATTTTAAAGGTGATAAATTACAGAACTTTAGAGTTAGTATAGAACATATATTGACATATAAACATCATTGAAGTTTTTTTTTTTATGTTGGCACACAAATTAAATATAATAAACACGTAGTTTGTTAAAAAATACCCACGCCACAGCAAACTTGCAGACTTAGCGAATTTCACTGCCTGATTGGATTTAAACTAAAATGTCTCCTTAAAAATATCACATTTATTCCCTATTTTAACAGAATTAGTTTAATGAGTAGGCTACTTAGGTTTGCTGAACAGGGAGGGTAAAAAAGTTTTTTTTAAATGTAAAATATTAAAAGGTACTGTGGTTTAGTAAGAAATTAATGTATTTTCCAAATTTGATCAAAATATGTTCATAAACAAGCAAACTACAACAGTTGACTTATTCTCCATAAGAATAACATGGGAATTTTAAAATTACAATTTTTTTGAATTTTCTCCGTAACAATTAAGCGCATAATAACGCTTCAATATACTAAATTATTTGTTTTTTTAAGCTCTACAAAATGGTTTAAAAATAAATTGTGAAATTTTGTGTTTTTAGGGTCAAAAATGGGAAAACCCTATTTTTACCCCATAAAACCCTCCATAAACCCCCGTTCCCATAGTCCGATCATGCTGGTTCGCGAACTCATTCAAGTTTATCCCGCCTTACACCTTCAAACCAAATTTTATCAAAATCGGACAAAAATTACTCAAGTTATCGTGCGGATGGACACATATATATATCTATATATAGACATATAAAAATTTGAACGAATGGTGTTTTTGGCCTCTGGGGACATCAAAATGAAAAAGTAAATCGGTCCCGGGCTTAGGTCTTACCATGAGACCTACGGTAATAGCTACTTCCCTATAAGGAAATTCGCTAAAAAAATAGGAAGTAACTATGAGAAAACGAAATCCTTAATACTTAACATTGTGTTTCTGTACTAGGAAGTACATAGTTTTTTGCTCGCAGTAGCCTTGAATCTTGACTCCTAGTCCATCCTGTATATAAGTGGGAAACTGGAGGGATAAATATTTCAAAAAGTTCCCTCTTTACCTGGTAGAACCCGCGTGGCAGTTCAACTGTTTTACAACCCTACGAAACTGACCCTTATAATCCGCTCTAATGATCGTGGCAGTTCAAGTATCTCGGGACGGCCATAAAACTCGTGGCGGTTCAATAACAGCCCAAACAAAGGTACTGCTACTTTGTCCAATAAAAATTACTTCTTTGTTTCTAACACGTTCCCTACCAGCCGCCACATATATGCAGCGGCCGGGTCACTCTGACAGCCCAAGAACAAAATCATAAACTTCCCTGTAGACTGGTCCTAATGGTTGTGACCTTTACCACACACCACGGATAAAATCCGTTCAAAATTAGTTTTTACGCTTCAAAAATGTCCTTATTCAAATAAAAAATGTATACATCAAATTTCTTTTCCTACAGCCACCCGACAAAGTTGGCTTCCTTGGACTGTTTATAGTACAGAAAGCTGCTAATTGCTGCATATTTATACTTTGTCGTACGGTTTATACTTTGTCGTATGGTTTATACTTTGGCGCAATCAGGATTCCAACGAAACAACACAAAACAGCGTGGTTCTATTATGCACGTAATCCGTGTACGCTTGGAAATAGGTTGGCAACACTTAAAGATAATAATACTATGAGCAGCTGATTGACTATTATAAATACAATTTAACCTGTCATTTCGTGTTTATAGTTTCGGTATTTCTGAACTGTCTGGACTTTTCTTTTAAACGTTTTTAAAACATTCCTACGATCTTAATAAACAAGAAAATACCTTTAAAGCATTTTTTTAGGCGCGGAAACCACTTAAAATTACAAAAACATATTACAAAAACTATATTCTCAAGTCGCGGAGCACATTTCTTGCCGAGGAAAAATAGCGGAGTGATACGGACCGAGTACTACTTTCTCTAGGGCACCTATTTGTGTTGCCAGCTGAACCTAAAAACGTGTTGTATAGTGTTTGAAAGACTAATTATTTATATGCTTTATAGTGACTGTAGGACAAATATAATGTGTAACACGAGTGCAAAAGACCTTTGCTGCACTCGAGATCATTCTAATAGTGGCACTATTATAACCTTATTTTCTATTCATTACCTAGAATAAACGTACAGAAAAACATTGTATTGAACTATTTGTTTTATAAAAAAAGTTGTTTACATTTCATTTACATAGGTTTTATAGTTATACAACATACACATGTTTATAGGTTTTTCTTGTACATAAACTTTTTTTTAAATGTGTCCATAGGCCTACTAAATTGGTAAAAATATTGTGTTAGTTTGAAAAAAATCTCCGTTTATTATATTTAAAACAGAAAAATTACTCTTAAATAAATAAACTTGAAAATGTATGCAAAAACATTTAATCAATTTGGTATTGCTCAAATCTTGTGATGATTGTTAAAACATGTAGGCATGCAGAGGCCAAGCTCACTCCTTGTGATAATCGTTGTTGGCATGCAGAGGCCAAACTGCTGATTTTTTTTGTCTCTACAAACAGAACATGTAAAGTAAGTATCTGATCGCTTGTCATGATGAACTGCCCCACAAACATGACACCTCAGACCTCATTTGTTTTGTCGCCTTGACGTGCAAGTGAGCTACAGTTGAAGATGAACGTGCGCTCATAGGACGTTTTATGGGCTCCACTTGAAGATAGCTTTTTTCACAATAACATCTCTGAATTCAAAGTATGTCATTTTAGCTCCTAGTTTTGTGTAAATATAGGAACTATTCCGAAGTGAGACATCAAGAAGATGGAAAAATATCTTCATGTACCAGCGGACAGATTTTCTAGGAGTGGAATAATAAGATAACATTTGATCTGAGCTATTAACTCCACTCATCCCTTTATTGTAACACACCACCATGACGGGCTTCTGCTTCACTAAAACCTCTTTTAGTGGTAACATTTTCCAACTGTGGTAGATATAGTAAGGACATTGCGCTTGTCACGCCACTTTATCACGGTAACGTCTCCCTTCAGGCGGCATATGGTTTCTCCAGTTTTCAATTTTTGTTGGATCACAGCTTGTGGGTTTCCTACCCTATCAGCTCGTGAGGTCCCGCATATACTGGACAGTGTGACTCTTTTCCAGGTAGTTCTCCCTCAACTTGAGCACTACTTCATGTGTGTGGCCTTTGTTTTTGTCTTTAACAGTTCCTTTACCCTCGTAAATAGTAATATTGAGTGAGTATAAAGTCATCACTGGTACAAAGTTCATACAACTTTATTCCATATTTATGGGCTTTTGATTTGATGTATTGTCGAAAAGACAATCGGCCAAGGAACAAAACCATGGCTTCATCTAAAGACAGATCCTTTCCCGGGCTGAACAATCTATTGCAGTTTGCTATTATATGATTCAAAACCTGATCAATTTTATTTAGTTTTTTGATCCGTCAAATCAAATCAAATAAAAAATTCTTTATTTTTTTCATGCACATAGGTACACATAAATAGTGTCAAACAAGTACAATAAAAATGCATCAGTCTCCGAACCATAACTATTTAACACAATTTGTCCTGAAGTATACTTTTAGTTCTTTTGTGAACAAAAGAACTAAAAGTCCTATCGGTTTCCGCATTGTAGAAACATATGCATTGTAATATGCTTTCAAATCTATAACGAGACATTGAACTTCCAAAGATGTAAAGGATCTTGGGACCAATAGTGTTTCAAGGAGGGGAATTGTACACTTCCTATAAGAATGCAAAGGCCTAAAAATTTTTTTAAATTCATCTCTTGTAAGGACAGACCATTTATTTAGCACGGATTGTTTAGGCAACATAGTTCCTTTCAAAACTTCAGCTCTCTTTTTACAGAGTCCATGCTACAATTTTATCCAAAAGACTGTTGTCAAAAATATTAGAAAGTAGCCTACTTCAACTGGATTAATTATTTGTTTTGATGAGGATTTGTTCATGTATATTGAGTGGTATGGCATCAGGAATATTTAAAGTATTTTCCATATCCTTGTACACTTTCATAGTTATCCTGTATGCCATTGACGACAAACTGGACGTTGGGATCTGTGTCTAATAAATTAGGCCTACCTGGATCGTCATCATCCCTGTCACTTAAATGTTCCAAAATATCATCTAACACCATATCTTCATCCCTGGCTATAAAGTTATCTTCAACACCAACTATAATAGAGTTATTCTCACTGCCAGATTAAGATTCAACATCTCTCTGTGGATTATACTCGCTTCCACCGTCAGACAAAAACAAAGAGCCTAGCTCAGACTTGTAATCGCTAAGTTCGTGTAGAACTTGATCTAGTTTGCTCCCCCGATATAAAAACCGATCATCACTATCAATGGCACTCAAAGAGTTCACAAATGTTTGCACAGGACACAACCAACAGTATACATATGCACGCACTCTTGCTTACTAGCAGACATACACATATACTACGGCTGAGATGATGCAATGTATATCAGTGTTGCCAACAGTCCAGTGACATCAGCGATAGTCTTAGCTACAGTCCTATAGCCAATATATAAGGCGGACTATCCGGTAGACCGTGACTAAGTCATCAAAATAGACCGTTGCGAAGAAATGTCTTATTTAGTATCAAGAAACCAGCGCCGCAGTTCTGCGGCGTTGGGCTATGATTAGGCCACAGCAGTCTGTGGTTAAGATTTTTTTTTAAACTGTGGTAGCGAACGTGCTAATTGGATTGTAGTAGTTTGGGGAGAATTGAGACAATGTTTGTACTTACGCTTCAGCATCACTGTGATCACTCCCTGAAGCATTTCCCTTCTTTGACTTGCCTTCGTCATCACTGCCTGTAACAATTATTATCATAGACTATATTATATTTTGGTATTTCTGAGAAGAAAAAACTTCTAAAGTCATCATAGAAGTATGCTATATAGATACATGTTCTCTCAACTACCCAATAGCTAGAGTCTACATAACATTATGGTTGCCATATCAATCTTTGCTGTTATCCTGAGTTTTATAAGCATTATTTTTAGATATTTTTGTGAAAACATTAATAAAATACCCCCACTGTAACAAACCTGCGGACTAATCGAATTTCCATTTGCCTGATTATATTTTTGCTAAAATGTCTCATTCAAAATATTAGAAACTAGCTGCTGTACCTGTGCTTCGCAACGGGAAGAAAATTCAGTTTCACAATCATTGTAATAGATTTAGAATAAATAATCTATCATTAGATTAAATAATCCAACCACATAGTTGTGTAATAGTATATTACGTTACTAGCCTGATAAGCGGTATTTTACCGTGCGAGCACGACAGTTCCTTTTTGTTCCCAGTTCCAAACGTTACTTTTCCTCGTTTAGGCACGGTAAAGGGCAACTTTCCAGCCTATCAATAAAGATGGAAAAGTACCTGTTTCTGTGTAGTATGATGTAAAATATATTTAGCTTCTTTGGATCACCTGTATGAAATTGTGAAATGAGCATTTGGCAGTTGAGTTCTGATTGTTTACATTTAAATGTCTACGCAAATTTAAATTCATTGTTAAGCCCCTGAGCTGTGGATATTATTGTAAGAATATATTACTTACGTCAATCAGCTCATTAAGTCGTGAGTTTCACCTCAGTACATGTTTCGACACATTGTCATCATCAGCTGAGTTAGTACTTGTGAAGGTTTAATTCACCAGATGGCTTCGTCATGTTGAATAAATTAACACGTAACATGTAACACGAATACGACACGACACATATACAGTACATTTATAACACGTAAAACTTGAAGACATGCAGGCCTGCTCGAACAAAACATACGGTCACGCCGCGGGTCGGGGACAGACTGAGTCTGTCCCCGACCCGCGGCGTGACCGTATGTTTTGTTCGAGCAGGCCTGCATGTCTTCAAGTTTTACGTGTTATAAATGTACTGTATATGTGTCGTGTCGTATTCGTGTTACATGTTACGTGTTAATTTATTCAACATGACGAAGCCATCTGGTGAATTAAACCTTCACAAGTACTAACTCAGCTGATGATGACAATGTGTCGAAACATGTACTGAGGTGAAACTCACGACTTAATGAGCTGATTGACGTAAGTAATATATTCTTACAAAGTCTACGCAAAGGTAAACATTGTGAATTTTGTTCTCATGCTTCCATTGAGACCAATTAATACTTTTGAAAACCTCACCTCTAAACGTTGGACATCCAAGGGACATAGCCCAAGAGGAACTCAATGAAGTGAATAGGGCTATGACTTCCCTAGACATGTGGACCATCTTTCTGCTTAATTTTGGCTGTATCAATTTAGTATTTTAGCCATGACAGCTGCCCAGACAGACAGACAGACACCACCCCAGTTTTATAATAGTACTAGCAAAACCGTCATGGCTTTGCTCATGAAATTTTAAATTAAAAAGTTAAATGTTCAACCTGAGTAAGGCCTACACTTCTTGATTTTTTAAATTAATTTAACTATGGGTTGAGTATGCACTGAAAGTCTGACAAAGTTTGACTTTTAAATATTGTTGGGGACATCTAGTAGATGAAGAAAATGGATGATGTCGCATTTCTAGGGTGGTCACAACTCAGGGAGGAGGGGGGAAGTTAAGTGTGTGAGTGGTTTACGTTTCCGCGTATAACTCTTAAACGATTAATGATAGAAAGATGGTTTAAGCGTCTATCTACGCCTAAATATATTGTCGTTCAAAAATGTTATTACAAATTTTATTCTATCTCTTATAATTAAGACACCAATTAACATTTCTTTCAAAACGTAAAATTTGAAACTACATTAAAATGAAATATTGGAAATATTTCACGCGTTATTGTTACAGACAATTTATGGTAAAAAAAAACTAGCAAGCAGTAAAAACACCAAGTTTAAGGAAATCTGTGCAAAAACAACAGAGCTAAGTTCATCAGTCGTCGTCTGGCCTATTTGGTCGACCGGCGGCCGAACGACGACGGCATACACTCAACGATCTGCCGGCCGGCGTGGACTGTTCAGGCCGGGCCGGCCGGCCGATCGTTACAAGTATGGGGGGCCTTAAATACCAGTTTTTACTCCATACTCTCCAAGCATAGATAGCCGAGAAGGCTAGGGCGTGTGTCATTTGGCTAGTGACATTCGTTTGCTCGGGGGGTTAGATTATTTGCCTGTCCTGTGTGGCAAATAATTGGTGACCAGTGTGTTTGTAGAGATAAATTAGGCTGCAACCACTGGAGCATAGTAATTCATAGTAGTTCATAATCCTTGGTTTAGACATACACCTTGAATCACCGGATTGGGCGAATCTTTTAGCTAAGTAGTTGTTAGTGTATTCTATAAACATGCAGGTCACCAATGGCCGTTTGCTACTTTTGTTAAAATAATACAAACACCCCCTTAGTAATTTTGTTATATCCCTTAGAGATTTTAGTAAACAACAATATATATTCTTGCATATCACTTAAAGGGTTAAATCTATCATTGACTTTGGATACTGCAACTAGCAGAAGTATATTTTGCATCGTTCATATTGTTATGTCTTATGCCTTTTTTGACCTGTTTCATGCATGCTTTGATGTTGAAAAAATTATTATTCTTATTTTTACTTAACTTGGTCATAACATAGATTTTTGTACATTGTAATTGATTTTAAATTAAATGAAAATCCTTTATTTCAACAGGCGAAGTTAATTAGATTTTAGTGGTTGTGTTTAGCTACACAGTTGCTTAAATTAAACCAAAGGTAAGATTTTAAAACCAAGCGGTTTGCAGTTGACTTTTGTTTCTAAAATCCACTGGAAAGAGTATTAATGTTATTTTTCTATAGTCAATGGTAAGAGTGTAAATGTAAGTGCCTTGAATTATGGAACGGGCAAAGCTATATGAACTTGCTATGAGAATTTCCAAATTAATCCATCTGCCTCGCAAGTTATTTGTTAATACAATTTTAAAATTAATGAAATTTGTATAGTACCTATTAAACAACAAGGCTATGTTTCATTAACTAAGTTTAGTGAATATTAGATTTTTTTCTTTCTCTTTCTTAGTGTAAAATAAAAATATAGATACTTAATAAGCACCAGGTAGAGGAATTATCATAATCGAAACATTTAGGTTATTTGTATCTCTTTTATATCACATATATTATAACAATCAATGATTTTTGTATACACCACAGTACCCTTAGTTGTAAGATTTGTTTTACGTAGTTAAATTGACTTCCAATATTAGCCAATTTCCCTATAGGGAAGTAGCTATTGGCATGGTAAGACCGTAGATGGCATGATAAGATCTAGGCCTGGGACCGATATACTTTTTCATTTTGATGGATGTCCCCAGAGGCCAAAAACACCATTCGTTCAAATTTTTATGCATACTAGAGGACCCATGCTGCTCCGTTAAAATAAATATAATATCCGAGAAATAATCAATTTTATGATTTTTTACTGCGTATGTAGGCCTAATACAGTATCTTGAGCTTAACTGATTTAAACGATCAATAGCTCAAATTAAAGCCTATAATTATATAATTATTTTGAGACTAAAACATATAAAAAACATTAACAATACGGGAGCTATTAATTTGTAATCATAGAAAACCCTTATGAAAAACAAACTCGGTAAAGAAAAACCAAATTTAACTCCTATAAGAAATACATGGAGAGCAAATTTTGTTTACGTATAAACTGAGTGAGACTATAGATAATTATATGTCGATGCTTGATGGCAAATCTGTGCGTGCATACCTTCAATTTGAGACCTCAATCATGAAAATTGGTCGGGTAGAAGAGTCAAACGAACTCGGAAAAACGCGATAACTCGAGTAATTTTTGTCCGATTTTGATGAAATTTGGTTTTTTTTTTAAAGGTATAAGGCGAGATAAACTTGAATGAGTTCGTTAACCAGCATGATCGGACCATGGGAATGGGGTGTTACAGGGGGTTTTATGGGGTAAAAATCGGGTTTGACCCCCAAAACACAAAATTTCCCAATTTCTCTCTAGACCTTTTTAAAGAGCTTAAAATCGAATAATTTAGTATATCAAATTGTTTTTGTACAATTATTGGTAGGTAACAGAGAAAATTCAAAAATTTTAAAATTCCCATGTTATTCTTATGGAAAATATTGTAGGCTACTAAAATGTTGTAGTTTGCTTGTTTATGGATATATTTTGATCAAACTTGGCAAATTTATTTATTTCATTATAAGCTATTAATATTGTACTAAAAACCACACTTTATTAGTTTCCTTTTAACAACAAACCTAGGTACTCATTAAACCTAATGTTTTTTAAATCAATTTAATTGAAAATCAATTCAGACAAATGGAAATTCGCTTACCTGAATGACCTCCTGCGCTCTGTGACCTTGATCTTGATCTTCGAGACCCAGAGGCTTTACTGCGGTTTGAAGCAGCACTACCTGATCTGTCAGACTTGGGACTGTGGGAAGACTGTGATTTAGGACTTCTAGAGCTCTTACGAGATCGCTGAGATTTTGGGCTTACTCCTCGGTCTGATCCCTGACTATCAGAACGATGTGATTTTGAACTCTTTGAACCATCTGAGTGAGCAGGACTAGCTGACCTATTGGACTTAGCACTTCCAGATCTAGCAGAATGAGTAGGGCTAACAGATTTCCGGGATTTTTCAGGGCTGAGAGAGCTATTGGATCCTGAATGAGGTGATCCAGGTGACTGGTGGGATCTCCTACTGCTGCGAGACTGATGTGATTTTGGGCTGTGGGATGCTGAACGACCAGAATGGGGACTGCCAGAACCACTTCGATCCCCACTGGAATGGGCTGACCGGGCAGATTTTGGACTACGAGATACTGACCGAGCCGCACTAGGGGAACGAACTGCACTCGCTGAACGTCCACTCCTAGCTGGGCTGTGAGATGCTGATCTTAGGGACTTAGGGCTACCCGAGCCTGAACGTGCAGGACTAACAGAGCGATTAGATTTTGGGCTCTGAGAGCCTTCTGACTGTGCTGGACTGTGTGATCTCATGGATGCTTCAGAGTTAGCTGGGCTTTTGGGACGAGCAGACCCTTCAGACCGAGCAGGGCTTGGTGATCGAGACCGTTGAGGAGAGTGTTCGGATGTGTGAGACTTTGGGCTAGGAGACCGCTCTGAGCCATAAGGGCTAGCTGATCGCACAGACTCTGCTACACTCTTGGAGCGAGATCTTTGGGAGATCGGAGATGCAGGGCTGTTAGAGCCACTGTCACCTCCATGTCCCGGAGTGGGAGCGACACCAGGGTGAGATGCTGGGCTACCACTCCTACTACTGTTGCTAGAGCCACTGTCTCCATCAGATTCTGATCCTACAAGCAAAACATCAGTTAGGACTAGAATCTAAACTAAATTTTTATTATTAGACTGACAGTGTAGGTTATCCTTCATTTTAACTGAATCAGGGCTAATGCACTAACACAAAGAGCCTAACTTACTTGAATACTTACTTCAACAGGCCTAACTATTACCGTACATAAACTCACAGTTGATTCTAACACTTGATCAGTTTATTTTTGAGTTAAACATATTTGAGTTCTATTGGAAATCTGAATGTAAGGGTGTTTTCAAATGCATTCTTCATATAAGCCCATTATGATCCCATTATGGAATTCATACCTACCATCAAATTATAACTTAACTTATACAAAGACTAGGCCTATTTGAGAATTTTTCAAAATTTTAAAAACGACATATTTTTGAAAAATTAAATTTTTAATTAGAAATTAGAAAAATGTTTTTTATTGTGACCTCTATGGTTTTATATATTTTTAGATAAGGCTTATAAAATGCTACAAAATAACTTCCTAGGTTTATTTCAAAAGATGCTAGAGTAGTTTAAATTTCATTAACGGTGTGTTTTTTGTATAGTTTAACAAGGCGTGATTTTGAAACTAGTTTAGATATCAAGTTGAAATTTGGTATACTTCTTTAGTCTCTAAGTTTATATGTTGTACCAGTATAACAAATTTGATCAAAATCGAAGATAGCCAGGTAGAATTTTGATTTAAATTGTGGTGATTTGATACGAAATCACTCTTTACGAGTTTGTTATTCTCCTGTTATTACCATGGAAATTTTTAACCATCCCGGTGTGATTTCACACCCCAACACCCCTGACTGTAGCCTATTAGAGGTGGCTATCATGGAATAAAAACCATCCATACCAGGTCCTTACAAGTATCAAGTAAGTAAGTAAGTTGTTATGGCTATCAGCATAGATAGGCCTATTTGGGCCAGTAATGTAATTTGTTTAAATGTTTATAATGATAGGCCTACATTTGTTTCTGTTTTAATATTCGTCTACATGGTCAATATATTCAAATATTTTACACGAAAGCATATATGTTGCATCTTGCATTTCACATCTAGGCCTACTAAAAACAACAATTAAAAGAATATCGTAAACATAAGTAGGCTACCTACTACAAAAGTTGATATTGGTTTGGCTTTGTCAGTGACCAGTCTGATCCTTCGGGCGGCCAAACTTGTCATCCTTAACCCTATTACGCAATGAAAATTATCCAGAAGCGTAGGTAGTAATTTTGATACCGTTGAAAAAAAGGATATTCTAAACTTTCATTTTCATATATAAACGAACTTCGTACCGTATCCGTAGCAATAACAGATCAATATAACTGCTTTTATAATTTGAACTTAAATGCGCAAAACATTCTTGAGTTGCGATTGGCAAAATCTTGTAAAACATGTGTTCTTGAAATCACAAAAAAAATAGTAATAATTGACACAGCCTGATGTGAGTCAAAATTATTTGAAGCTGAGAAAACGTTCTATCTCTATGTTTTGGTGCCTTTCAGTAGGCTATTGAGATTCTGGTGACACATTAGTTGTAAACTTACTGGAAAAAAAGTTGTTTGCATACTGTTCACCAGAAACAAAGTAGGCCTAAGGTTTTCAGTGCGGCTACATTATAATCTATTAATTTTCATCAAAAGTTAGTGTTTTAGTGTAAAAGAAGTGTATTGTCAGGTGGTGTATGAGTTAGTAAGTTAGTAATATTTATCCATATTAGGATGGGTAAATATTAGGCTAGTATTTATGTTCAAATTCATGTTATTGAAATAGTGATTGTTTACAGGTTAGGCCTATAGCCAAGGCCTACATCCTAGCATAGCCTACAATCCGTATGTGTGTCTCACACCACAATGCTTCTGGAACCTTTATTTGTTTATATTTCAGTATATATATATATATATATATCTTACTAAAATTATAAATGTGAAAGTTTGTGTGTTTGTCTGTTTGTTTGTTTGTTTATTTGTTTGTTTGTTTGTTTGTTTGTTTGAAGTTCAATCACGCTTTAACTACTGGTCGGATTGGGCTGAACTTTTGGTACGGTATGATGATAGCTCACATTCCCGATTAACATATAGACGTATTCGTATCTCAAAAATCCCTTCGGGCTCCGCCCCTGTGGCTCTGGAGTTTCCCATGTTAACCTTATGAGTATTCATATTGAAAAGGGATTTTTGTCAGCTGTTTCAATTACTCAAGTTGTTCTATGATATTCAATATTATTAAAAGTTATAAGGTTCACCAACAGGGTGTAGCACTTAAGTTATACATTTTTTTCATTTATGACAACATAGCTAATTTGAAGCTGTGATGCACAATGAGAACTGTTAAAGTAGGATTGTTTACAGTTAATATTATGTTTTTAATTTATAAAATGATGTTTTGATATTTTGCAAATATTCGATAATTTAAGTTACTTTTTAGCAAATTTCCCATATAGGGAATAAGCTATTACCGTAGTACTCATGGTAAGACCTGGACGCGGGACCGATTTTTTTTTCATTTTGAGGTCCCTAGAGGCCAAAAACACCATCCGTTCGAATTCATATATATATATATATATATATTTATATATGTTTGTCCGTTAGCGCGATAACTCGAGCAAAAATGATCCGATTTTGATGAAATTTGGTACAAACGTGTAAACCTACGTTTATTCGAACGAGTTCGCGATCCAGCATAATCGGACCATGGGAACAGGGGTTTATGGGGGGTTTTATTGGGTAAAAATGTGTTTTTCCCATTTTTTACCCTAAAAACAAAAAATTTTGCAATTTATTTCTAAACCGTTTTGTAGAGCTTAAAAAAAGAAATAATTTAGTATATTGAAGCGCTGTTGTATGCCAAACGGTCACGGAGAAAATTCAAAAATAGTTTAATTTAAAATTCCCATGTTATTCTTATGGAGAAAATAAAAATTGTTGTAGTTTACTTGCTTATGGATATATATTAATAATACCCCGGCCGCAGCAAACCTGCCGTCTAAGCGAATTTCTATTTGGCCGAATTGATTTTCAATTGATCTATTTAAATAACATTAGGTTTAACGAGTACCTAGGTTTGCTGCTACAAGGAAACTAATAAAGTAGTGTGTTTTTAGTAAAATATTGATAGCTTACTATAAAATAAATAAATTTGCCAAGTTTGATCAAAATATATCCATAAACAAGCAAACTACAACATTTTACAATATTCTCCATAAGAATAACATGATAATTTTAAATTTACCATTTTTTTAGTTTTCTCCGTAACCAATAACCGTACAAAAACACTTTGATATACTGAATTGTTTGTTTTTTTAAGCTCTTTAAGAAGGTTTAGAGAAAAATTGGGAAATTTTGTGTTTTGAGGGTAAAAAGTGAGAAAAACCAATTTTTACCCCATAAAACCCTGTTCCCATGGTCCGATCATGTTGGATCGCGAACTCATTCAAGTTTATCCCGCCTTACACCTTCAAACCAAATTTCATCAAAATCGGATAAAAATTACTCAAGTTATCGTGTTCACGGACACATATATATATATATATATATATAAATCTATATATATATCTATGTATATATATATACATATATAAAAATTTGAACGAATGGTGTTTTTGGCCTCTGGGGACATTAAAATGAAAAAGTAAATCGGTCCCGGGCCTAAGTCTTACCATGAGACCTACGGTAATAGCTACTTCCCTATAGGGAAATTCGCTAAAATTTGGCAAATTTATTTATTTCATCCCATACTATTCACGTATGGTCAAAAAACACTTTTTACCTCCCCCATAGCAGCAAACCTAAGCACTTGTTAAATTTAATGTTATTTAAATAGGGAATAAATATGTCTTATTTATGGAAATATTTGAGTAAAAATGTAATCAGACAAGTTGAAATTCGCTTAGTCTGCAGGTTTGCTGCGGCGGGGGTATTTATTGTTTAGGTGTAGTGGTGGAACATTATGGCTATCATATATGTGCTATAGGCCTACTATAGCTTCAGTAAATTAAAAGAACCAAATTTTCTCAAACCGTGTCCTCTTCCATTGCAAACACAAAGCATTTGTATAACTGCAATAAGCATTTTATACTTATAAGCCAACCCCGTACGAAGGACGGGTATTTAGCTACTATAGCCTATGTATATTTTCTTGTTCAGAAACATATTCCCGGCTATAAGTTAAATACGTACCATTTATCATATTACCTAAAAGTTAGTAAAGTAGGCTACAAAAATTTAGATCTAACTTTGAATAGGCTAACTAATTTTTGTTTTCGGCAAAACTAAAATTTTTTTTCAAGTCATTAAGACATAAAAATCACATTCCCACGTAGAGAAATAAATTATTGAGTAGGCCTAAATAATTTGCCTACATTTTGTATCTTAGACTGTCTGTAAAAAGATTGATTTTTGAAAAAATGCTAAACTCAGGCCAGCTACCTACTGTACTTTTGAAAATTAAGTTGGTAGGCTATTACTAAACTTATACTACTTATATTACATTCAATTTTTTTTGCCTTGTAGGCCTATACCTAAATTAGACTATTTTCAGCACTTTTTACCTTTGACACTTTCAGGGGAAACAACTAAGTTATTTCAGCCTGAAAATCGTGTTTGAAGATTTCAAAAACCATTGGAGTTCATTAAGTTAACTTATTACCATAAGGTAAAACTTATTCCAAAATTTTGAAAAAATATTTTTTTTACATTTTGCAAAAAGTCTACCGAAAGGAATTCCTCTTATTTTATGTTACCAGTAAGTTATTCTGAATTTCCTTCTTTTAATCAACAAAACAAGTATAAATATGCCTAGGTTATCAACCAAGTAATCAAGTAATCAAGTAATTTATTGGTCATTAAATAATCATTGATTACAATAGACCTCGTCAGAGACACACATATAAAACAATAGCGATACATTGGGAACATGTTGATGAAGTCAACATCAGCAGTGTATCAACAGTGGTTTAGGCCCTGCAAATTGTCAAATTAAGCTAAACGACTCCGCAAAATGGTCAAAATTGCCAGGGCACCGAGCCATTTGGCATAAATCAGGTCAGGGCAGTCCTAGGGTTAAGGAAGTGAGAACGGAACAATGAGACTGACGTTAAACTCAGGACGTTGCTAGCCAAAGTGTAGGCCTAACAAAGGAATAAAAAAATCTAATACAAGTAACTTAGAGAGTGCAAGAAAATGCATTTAGCCTATCAGTCGTTAAATAATAATCGCGCTAAAAATAACTCACCCTACAGGCACGGTACGTCAAGTTTACGTGTGATATACCCATCTAGGGCTGAAGGTCAACATAATTTAGGTAATACCATGTAATACTTAGGCCTAGGCCTATTATCGAAACAATTTGTCAACAATTCAGTCAATGTTTTCAGATTGGCCTACCCTAAGTTGTTTATTAACTGTTCTAGGCTAACTTAATTGAAAGTGTCCGTGTAGTCCCATATTTTTTTTATCAACATGAAATTTTCCTATGACTGCTGAATTATTTAAATAGACCTCACATAACTTATTTAAGTTTAAAAAAATTTAAAGTTTAACTTACCTGACTCCGGTTCACTTGGGTCCTCTTGGAAATTGGTTAAATGCGGTGGCATTATAGCTATAGCTTGTGGCAGGTAATGAGTGAGTTTGATTTAACTTAACAGTCAAGCTAATAAGAATTTGTAGTATATTATTCTTATCTAACAAGTCATAATAACAAACAATACTATATCACTATAACCTATAAATGGACCACCTAACCACTGAGCTATGGATAGCCTAGGGTTCACTACGATACTCGGACAGAATACGATTGAATCGATCTATCGAGAGTCTGCAATTACACTATCGATATTGAATTGTGTACACTATCGATATCGGAAAATCGGATTCGAGTTTGTTGTTGGATCTGAGTCTGAGTATTGAGTTTTCAATTTCAATCGGATTCAAATCATCTACTCAATCCTCCTCTACAAACTAACTGTATGCCTAGCCTACGTACGTACAGTAGTTTATGCTGACTTTATGTAAACTCAAAATGTGCTACCGTCCGGTATCTAAGACAATAAAACAATAATAATTATTGTTTCAAATTACTGTACAAGAATATACAGATTTTTGTCTGCTGTGATTTTTTTAGGATTTGACAGGAGAAAATATTTGTATATTGGCTAGTACAGCATATTTTTTTCTCTAGCCCAGGATCCAGGGGGGGGGGCAAATGCCCCTGTACCTAGTGTTTTAAATTTTGAACAAAATGGTACAACTCCCATACCTGTAAAAGTTACAATTACTTTCCCATTTTATAACAAAAAATCAGATTTTTTAAAAAACAACCGGTTCTAATTAAATTTGGTCTGTTGTGGTCCTAAAAATATGAAAATAAGGTGTAGGCCTATAATAATTCTAAACAAAATAATACAACCCCCATTGTTGGTTTGAATTTTAATTTGTAATTGCTGTAACAGTTGCAGTTCAAGTAAAAAGCCTTTAGCACCATCTGTTCAATTCATGACAGTAGAACCTTGATAACAAGTCGACCTTGATAACAAGGGTTATTTTCAAATCCCCTTGAAATTATTTTACCCCTAATCATATGTTATTGCAAACCTCGATAAGAAGTCAACCTAGATAACAAGTCTTATTTTATAATCCTTATAAGAGTCTTGTTATCAAGGTTCTACTGTAAATTATAGCCTATACCGTAGATAAAATATACTCCCTTAGACTTGTGCTGCTTAGTTTAGTCTATGCCTATACACATATAATTCAAAGTCAAAATTAAGAGTCAAAATAATCCAATTATGATGAAATTTTTAACAAACGTGTAAAACAACGTTTGTTGTAGCGTTCCGTTCATGAACCAGCATGATCGGACTATGAGTAGAGGTAAAAATGGGGTTTCCTCATGTTTGACCTTATAAAAACTTCAAACATCTTTGTAAATAATTCATTGGATGTTAAAAAAAAAAAATTATCAACCTATATTGCAGATAGCTAAATGGTTACCAGTAAGTTGAAAAATAAAAAAACCTGAAAATAACTTGTTATTTTGACGAAGGTAATCAAGGCGAAGTGTGTTCTTCCCTGTATCTTATAACGCTATATCAGCAAACATACAAATTTTAAAACGAAAACAAATCTTACATTGATTGAAATGGGTGATGAGTATACTACTGTTCAGTAAAAGGCCAGCTGACCATATGAGCATAATCCCCACATGTCAACAACAATACAATAATAAAAATTTGAAAATGTAAACATTCCAAGGTAAACATTCTGGTTAAAAAAGTGCAATTTTTCTCTCTTGTAATATCGTTTCTTTGTGTAACATAATTCATTTCTCTCTCCTTTTATTTTGACTTATTTCATTTACCTTTTCCTTTTGTGTTCATTAAATAAACCTTTTTTAATTTAACTAAATTCTTTGTACCTACTGTGAGAACATTTGGACATTAATGAAACATATTATCTTCTCGACTAGAGCCAACATTCAACCAGATCTTCTTTCAAGACCTTAATAACGTCAAAGTGGTAACATAACTATAGTTCAGTGTTAAAAATTTATACCAAAAGTCCATTATTTTCTGTTGTCAAAATTAAATTAATAACCCATATACAGTCCACTTTATTAGTTCTACAATAACCTTTTGATTACGCTACATCTTTGGTCCTTCGAGCCGGATTGTTGATTAACCAACTGATTGAACTAATTATTTGGACTTTTGGTGAAGATTAAAGACGAACATAACCTCATAAACTCTCAATATTGTCGTTCACGCATATTTTGTACTCCCCCTCTACCTCTATCCCTCTCACTCTCTCGATCACATTATCCTAATAGGCCTACTCCAATGACTGAAAGACTCTGTGACATTATAGTCATTTTGTAAACATTGTACCAATCCTTTAGTGTTTATATTTTTTTGTTGATTGGTTCCGAGTTAAGGCCCACAAACTGTTTAATTGAACTAGCCTAATTCATTTTGTTTTGTGTAACGAAGTGAAATAACTTTTGTGTCTTGTGTATTTTGACTGTATTTGTGTTCAATGATGGCTCCTGTTAACCTAGCCCCGATTAAGGTTTCTACTTATAAAAGACTAACCAAACAATTCAAAGTTAGGCTTGGAAAAATTCAAGAAAATATAGATTCTATTAATGAAAGTGCTAAAGCAAACAACCTATCCTCTGTGCAAATAAAATCACTTCATAACTATTTAGATGAAATCAGGAAAAAGCGAGACGACTTTGAACTAAATTTCAGGCGCGTTTTAGAACATTGTTCTGACGAAGAACTCGATGGCATTATTCTAAATGATGATGAAAACACTATTGGTGAATTATGTATACATCTTTGTAGTACTATAGAGTCACTAATCCCTATTGACGAACCTCAATCTCCCCCTCAAGAAATGGTGAATGATTCCAACTGTAATTCTTTCATGCAACCTGTCCGCCTACCGCAACTTGACTTGAAAACCTTCTCGGGAAACTCAGCCGAGTGGATTAATTTCATCAATCTTTTTGATAGCGCTGTACACCTCAACACATCTCTGTCTCCAGTATCAAAATTTCAATACCTACTAAGCTGTCTAACTGAAGAACCTCTAAATTTAATTAAAAACTTAAACATCAGTGCATCTAACTACGAAATCGCATACAATTTGTTGTGCGATCGATACCACAATCACAGACGCTTAACTGCTTTACATTTAAATGCCATATTGGATCTTCCCATTGCTACATCTGAAAATACAAAATCAATACGTGAATTTCTAAATCATTTTCTGGAACATACACAATCACTTATTGCTTTAGAAAGTGACATCACTACAAATGACAATCCTTTGCTGTCAGCTCATTTGCTCCGTAGACTTGATAGAAATTTACGGCAAAAACTTGAACATTACCGCTCATTCAAATCATGTGAAACTGATTCGTTACCATCTGTGGACGAAATCATTAAATTTCTCAATGAAGAATGCTCAAACAGTGAAGATGCCAACCTACACTCTTCAACTTTTTGTCACAAGGCTCATTCAAAGCCTGCCCTCACATCTAGTAAAAATTACTCCAAACCAAGCACCCGCTATACTGCACTTGTAAGCTCGGGTGATCACTCCACTTCTGTAAAGACATTTCCATCATGCTTTGCCTGTCAACAAACCGATCACAAAATCTACATGTGTAAGGTTTTTGCTAAGAAATCTCCAAACGAGCGTTACAAACTTGTTAAGGAGCAAAATAAATGTATTTCATGTCTTGGCAATCACACACTCAAAGATTGTCGCTCAACAGGCACATGTCTTAAATGTAAACAAAAACACCACACCTTGTTGCACTTCGAAAATGTTGTGCAGCCTCCTCCTATAGCCAAACCCTCAAAACCTTCAACTGCTACACCTTCTGTAGTCGCTTCTGCTCAACCAGAAATGTCGCTCTCGATTTCTCAGCCTGCAACTACGGTATTTCTAGGCACCGCTCTCATTAAAATTACCGCTACTAATGGAATCTCTCATGTCTTTCGATGTCTGCTCGACAGTGGAAGTCAACTCAACTTCATGACGGAGAGGGCAGCACAGCTATTAAACGTCTCTCGTCACCGCTCTACTCACACAATCGTGGGAATCTCTGCATCGCAATCCTCGACAAAGGGACATGCACTCCTAGAACTATCCACACTAGGCAGTGAAGTAATTGCTTCAAATCAACCTTTCCATATTCTAGATAGAATTTCCGCTCCTTTGCCTCGTACTCAACTTTCTTTTGAGGTTTACAAACTGGTAAAACCTTTTGTCCTCGCAGATCCGACCTTTCATATTCCTCAGAATATTGACATTCTCATAGGAGGTGCTTTGTTTCCAGAACTTCTTACTCATCAATCCTACCCATTGGGCTCAAACACGATTGGGATTTGTGTTAATGGGCAATGCACCAACTTTGTCTAACTCTTCTCCCACCTCATGCCATTCGTCTCTACTATCCACTACGGACGAACTGCACAATACTCTACTTCGCTTTTGGCAACAAGAAGAGGTACCGCAGTGCAATCTTATCTCTGAAGACGATCGCATCGCTGAAGATCACTTCAAATCAACTCACTCTCGCTCTCCAGATGGAACATATGTTGTTCGACTCCCTTTCAAGGACCAACATCAACCACTGGGCACCTCAAAATCTGCTGCTGAACATAGACTTCACTCAATTGAACGAAAGTTTGAATCCAACTCTAATTTCAAGGAGTTGTATACACAGTTTATGACTGAATATGAACATCTCGGACACATGGTCAAAGCATCCCCTTCCGATCTTTCGCAGCCACACTACTATTTGCCTCATCACGGTGTACTGAAGGAAACCAGTAGTACAACCAAACTTCGTACAGTTTTTGATGGTAGTTGCAAAACCAGTACCGGTGTCTCACTAAATGATATTCTTTTAACCGGTCGCAAACTTCAAATTGACATTTGTGACATTTTGTTGAGTTTTCGTTCACATAATTATGTGTTCAGTTGCGATATAAGGAAAATGTATCGTTGCATTCAAGTTCATCCTGACGACCAGAAGTATCAGTTAATTTTATGGCGTGATCAAAAGACTCGAGAAATCTCCACATACAAATTAACGACAGTTACCTACGGTCTAAGCAGTTCACCTTTCCATGCCATCAGAACGTTACATCAACTTGCTGACGACGAAGGAAAGTCCTTCCCAGCAGCAGCCAAAGTTTTACGGGATAATACGTATGTGGATGACGTCATCTGTGGAGCTCATACTCTCAACGAAGCTAAAGAACTACGAGATCAGCTGATTGAACTTCTTGCACGTGGTGGTTTTGAGCTAAGAAAATGGACATCCAATTGCCCAGAAATACTCCAAGATTTGCCTCAAGATCATCTAGAAACACCAGTCTTTTTGGAAGCCACTAATCACCCTCATTTTGCCATTCTTGGACTACATTGGTCACCCATTTCAGATTGTTTCACTTACAACTTAAGTCTCCCTGATGGTCCTCCTACAAAACGATCAGTGCTGAGCATTATAGCACGCATTTTCGACCCTGCCGGATTTTTGTCACCCGTGACCATGTGGGCAAAAACCCTCATGCAAATACTCTGGTCACAGGGTATCCAATGGGATGACACTCTTCCAAATGAACTTGCCGAAAAATGGCACATTTTCGTTGATGAAACCTCTCTCCTTTCAAGTATTAAGATCCCTCGCTCGTTCCATTTCACTACCACATGTTCCTTACAACTCCATGGATTTTCAGATGCCTCCGAAGTAGGATACTCAGCAGTCTTATACTTCCGCTGTGAGTTTTCAACTGGAGAAATCATCACTCGTCAGATTCTCGCAAAAACACGTGTAGCTCCTTTGAAACGTGTTACTCTACCCCGCTTGGAACTATGTGGTGCACACTTACTTGCAAAACTCACAACTTACTGTTGTACAATTTTCAAAGAAAAGATTGACCTTTCTCAAACTACATTGTGGTGTGATTCATCAGTAACCCTCACTTGGTTACACACCCCCTCATATCGACTTAAAACGTATGTTGCCAACAGAGTTGCTCAAGTCCAAGAATTGATCCCCTCTCACTCCTGGCGCTACGTTCCCTCAACAGACAAATCAGAAAATCAGAAATCAGAAAATCTTTACAACCCCGCTGATTGTGCGCCACGTGGTTTGCTTCCCGCTCAACTCATTGATCATCCTCTATGGTGGAATGGCCCTCCATGGTTAACTCTTTCAGATGATCATTGGCCATCTAATCGCTTCGTTCCCATCAACTTGCAAGACACTCAAGAATGTAAAACAACTCCTCTAAATGTCCTAGTTTCAACCCAACCTCCAGAATGGGATCTTCTCTCCAAGTACTCATCGTGGTCCAAACTACTTAGAGTAACAAGCTATGTCTTGCGGTTTATCCACAATGCACGTAGCTCTGACCGAAGACATGGACATCTCACCGTCTCTGAACTTAAGAACTCAGAGCGTACCATCATCAAGTGTGTACAAGCTACATGTTTTACGAATGAATTGACTCTACTTCACAAAAACAAACCCAGTACCTCTAATCTTCAACGTTTAGACCCTTTTCTGGATGCTTCCGGCACAATTCGTGTGGGAGGCCGGCTTAAGAAGCTATCGCTGAAATTCAACGTCAAACACCCAATAGTACTTCCAAAGAAGCACCATATCGTTGATCTTCTCATAGACTTTGTCCACACTACTCACTTACATTCCGGACCACAACTGACCCAAGCAATCCTTTGCCAAAACTATTGGATTCTTTCGGCTCGTCGAGTCATACGGACACGTATTCATAAATGTGTAAAATGTTTCAAAGTGAAACCAAAGAACATCACTCCACTCATGGGAGATCTTCCTACCGCAAGAGTAACTCCAGCTCGACCATTCACTACCAGTGGCGTTGACTATTGTGGCCCTTTTGACATGAAAGTTGTCAATCTCCGCGGAATGCGTCATATCAAAACCTACATCTGTGTTTTTGTTTGTTTTGTGACAAAGGCAGTGCACTTAGAAGTTGTAGAAGATTTAACAACTGAGGGATTCATCGCTGCACTCACACGATTCATCTCCCGAAGAGGATTCTGTAAAGATATCTATTCCGACTGTGACACGAACTTCGTAGGCGCTCATTCTGCACTGCGTCGAACAATCAAAAACACCCTGCGCTTTAAAGAATCTGAAGAACAACTATTGCATTTCACTTCATCCAGGAAAATAAATTTCCATTTCAATCCTCCTGCTTCGCCCCATCAAGGTGGTCTATGGGAAGCAGCAGTGAAAAGTGTCAAATACCATCTGCGCCGTGTCATGGGTGAACACATTCTTACTCTCCTAGAATTCATGACTCTGACTACACAAATAGAGGCAATCCTCAATTCCCGTCCTTTGACACCATTATCTAACGACCCTAATGACTGTTCAGCACTCACTCCAGGACATTTCCTCATAGGATCTCTGCTGGCATCAATTCCAGAAGAAGACCATGCTGATATTCCACTAACTCGGCTCAAAAGATGGCACCTAGTACAAGCTCTCCACCGAAGGATTTGGAAGCGCTGGCAACTAGAGTACCTTCATACACTCCAGCAACGATCCAAGTGGACTCATAAGACAGAAAACATAAAAGTTAGAGATCTAGTCTTGATCCACTCTTCATCGCCTCCTTTGTCCTGGCCCCTTGCCCGTGTCACACAGTTGCATCCTGGCACAGATGGACAAGTCAGGGTTGTTGATCTGAAGACTCAACACGGTTACCTTACTAGACCAGTTGTTAAAGTGTTCCCTCAAAACTAAGCCATACAACTTAGAAAGACCTGTAAATAGCTGTAAATAATATTCTTCAGTGCTCCGTTTTTTACACAATTTGGTGTTCATTGTTATAAAACTATCGTTTTATGGAGGCCGGTATGTTCAGTAAAAGGCCAGCTGACCATATGAGCATAATCCCCACATGTCAACAACAATACAATAATAAAAATTTGAAAATGTAAACATTCCAAGGTAAACATTCTGGTTAAAAAAGTGCAATTTTTCTCTCTTGTAATATCGTTTCTTTGTGTAACATAATTCATTTCTCTCTCCTTTTATTTTGACTTATTTCATTTACCTTTTCCTTTTGTGTTCATTAAATAAACCTTTTTTAATTTGACTAAATTCTGTGTACCTACTGTGAGAACATTTGGACATTAATGAAACATATTATCTTCTCGACTAGAGCCAACATTCAACCAGATCTTCTTTCAAGACCTTAATAACGTCAAAGTGGTAACATAACTATAGTTCAGTGTTAAAAATTTATACCAAAAGTCCATTATTTTCTGTTGTCAAAATTAAATTAATAACCCATATACAGTCCACTTTATTAGTTCTACAATAACCTTTTGATTACGCTACAACTACACTTTTCAGTACCTACCAAGCTTACATGGCAATTAAATATTCTTTAAAGATTTTATTGAAGGAAAGACTTATTTCAAATAATTATATTCCCACTTGATGTGAACAATTTAAGTTTTGTTGACTGGATAGGCCTACTATGATTAGTGCACTTTATAATCGAGCTTCAACTTTATACTTGACTGTGTGGTAATTTATAATAGAATATATATAAAAGATAAATAAAATATATAACTAAGATGTTTTTGTAAATAATTTAAATTATATATAGTTAACACAAAACAATAAGAGAGTATTTTAGTATTTGTTTTGATAGAAGAAGTAAAATGTCAATTGGGTTATCCCAATCGAGAGGGCTCTCAATTAATTATTTAGTTTTTATTATTATATAAAATTGTTTTTCTATCATTTGTGTTCACTTATTTACATTTTAAGTTTTTCTATAACCTCTACAGAGAGGACAAGAACACAAGAATGCAATACAAGAATACAAGAGTACTTTATTTTACAATTTTTAAGATTGAATAAGGCATCAATACAATATGTTATCGATTAAAAATCTTTGTTGATTGGAATCCTTGCAGTAGAAAGATGATTTAACTTGTAACGTAGTCACTCTAGTTGCTGCCAAGACAATTATTCATCAATGCTGTAGAAAGGTCTAAGTAACAGCCCCTGTGATGTTCCTTCTTCAGTCTTCTAGAACAGAGAAACTTTACATGTTATTTAAATAAGGAGGCTAGTGTAGGATGAATGAACAATAAATTCTCCTCGGCTAGAATGCAATGTTAAAACTTTAACGTGTCTATTTGGGTTGAATGGAGCATGTTCTCGAGAAATTAACATTTGCAGACAAACTAATGCTAAAATTCATTGAACATCCACAACATTTTATTCACTTGTATTTAAGTACGAGTTAGATAGCAGTAATATAAATTAACATAATTTAATTGAGCGGAGCGAGCGAAGCGAGCGAAGCTCTTTGAGATCGGACCTTATGCAAACTATGTAATCAATTAACTCAATAACGGCTGAACATATTGAATCCAAACTTACCAGGGGTATTTCGACAAATATTTTTGATGTTTCGAAACAAACAAATTTCAATTTGATAATACTTGTACAATTTAAGACTGACATAAAATTTGCAATGTTTAACATGAGTCTTATGAGTTGCCATGATGGTTACGAGATAACAACGTAGATGTAAACAAAGAATCATAGCGTATGCGACTCGACATTCTGTACCCACGGGCACCTCAGCTTGCACATGGACATATGGCCTATTTACAAAAGACAGTAGAAAAGAAAAGGAGTCCGATGAATACCATTAAGCGTTGATTAACAATACACTGATTCGCATAATTTCTGGCGGCCTTACTGAATTATTCCAAGCAAATTATTTCTTTTAATTAGTTTTGTGGTAAATATTAGTTCAGAGTGTGGTAACTTTTTATGACGATTAGATTAAGGTATCTGTTATCCTAAAATGCTATGGGAAGGGAGGGAAACAGGTCCGCGACGTAGGAAGTCGTGAAGGAAGCAGTAAAGATGAGCCGTCCGGAGTGTGGGAACTGTTTATGACGATTAGATTAAGGTATCTACAATCCTAAAATGCTATGGGAAGGGAGGGAAACAGGTCCGCGACGTAGGAAATGGCGAAGGAAGTAATAAGGTGAGTAGTCCGGAGTGTGGGAAATGTTTATGACGATTAGATTAAGGTATCTACAATCCTAAAATGCTATGGGAAGGGAGAAAAACAGGTCCGCGACGTAGGAAGTGGTGATGGAAGTAGTAAAGGTGAGTAGTCCGGAGTGTGGGAACTATTAATGATGATTAGATTAAGGTATCTGTTATCCTAAAATGCTATTGGAAGGGAGGAAAACAGGTCCGCGGTGTAGGAAGTGGTGAAGGAAGTAGTAAAGGCGAGTAGTCCGGAGTGTGGGAACTATTAATGACGATTAGATTAAGGTATCTGTTATCCTAAAATGCTATGGGAAGGGAGGGAAATAGGTCCGCGACGTAGGAAGTGGTGAAGGAAGTAGTAGAGGTGAGTAGTCCGGAGTGTGGGAACTGTTTATGACGATTAGATTAAGGTATCTACAATCTTAAAATGCTATGGGAAGGGAGGGAAACAGGTCCGCGACGTAGGAAGTGGTGAAGGAAGTAGTAGAGGTGAGTAGTCCGGAGTGTGGGAACTGTTTATGACGATTAGATTAAGGTATCTACAATCCTAAAATGTTTATATTTAATATATTTAACTATACTTGTTAACTTGTGTTGTCCAATTTATAACTTATAAGTGTGGAAATAATTTTCTCTGTGCAGATACAGTTACAATTACACATGCCAATGTTATGTTTACTTTCCGTAATTACACATGCCAATGTTGTAAATATATGTTCAGTAATGTATGTCTGTTTATTTAAATGTATATATTTTTTATTTCAAAGTCTGACGCCATCAATCCCTTTTGGGTAAAAGATGAAGATAATAAGGCAATAATTACAAAAAGTAGAGCCTAGACTGCTTGGCTTGTACGGGAGTCCAGTTATAAAATAAGTGTGATATAATATTCCTATTTTTTTCCGTAATACTATAAGATGAATTATTACAGCTAACAGAATAGCATGTTGGCATTTTTATGTTGGGTTGAAAATGTAGTACAACCCAATAAATAGGCTTTAGTATACATCAACACAGTGCAGGTTCTCAAATTAAATTGCCATAGCCTAATATAAAAACGTCTTTTATATTTTTGATTTTAATAATTTTGTTGTACAGTAGGTTATTATGCATATACAGTATTTTACTTAATCATGCTGTAATTTAGCATGAGGAATAAATATATTTTGGTTTAATTCATCAATTCTCTATCCAGTGCCGTCTTTAAAATCTAATCTATTTATTGAGTACAGTATGCCTATATTTTGGCAATGGGGCGGAGCTAGCGCAAACGTCACCAATTCAATGCCACAAGCGTTGCGGCAACCACCATCTTTTTCAGGGTATCATCAGCTCGTGAAATTAGCCACGCCTTATTTCCTGTGGTGACCATTGACTATGGTATTGCTATATATAGTCACCTTCTTCTGTCATTCTGTTCGCTGAGCAAAGTTTACTAATTGGCTAAATGTTTTAGTTGGAGAAAATGAGAAGGAAGCCTATAGGCCTATTACATAAATGGGAGCTAAACAAACATTAGGATATTGACAAAATATTACTTATCTTTATGCTATTACAAACACACAGTTTTCCTATTACTCATATATACAATTAAAAATCAATGACCTAATAGAAACAGCTGACTGGATTCATATTTCCTTCAACTCTTCCAACCAACCACGAGAATTCAATTGGATTGTTGCTATTGTGACGTCATCATGTATTCAATTTGAATCATGAAAACAAATTAAAGTTATTTGTTTATATCAAAGCTTGCTTACTCCGCTCAATTGGCGGACCTGAGGCCGCATGCCTAGTTAAAATGTACCTTTTGACCAGATTAATTTCTACCTCAAATCATGGTTTTCTCAGTACCTAATTAACAGTTTCAACTTCATTTTTTTATGAACAACGACAGCTTATGGTTTACAAAAAATATAACCCATACCTATTTTAAAATCAAGACTAATGCAGGTTTATTTTAGCAACAGCAATGGTTTATCTGTATTAGGCTTTTAGCAACAGCAATGGTTTATCTGTATTAGGCCTAAGCCTAATTTTAATTTTAAATAGTGGCAGATGCTTTTATTTATGATCACATTACCTTAATCAAATATATTTGCATGAAATTTGTTAAAGCTTATATGCCTATTCTACCAATTTTGCTGTCCCGTTATATCTTTCCAACTAAATTAATTCTCAATTTTTCCCACATTAAAATACTATAATGCAGTGGGCGGTTCCAAGGGGTGAAGGGCTATAGAAGCAAGAGCCCTCCCCATTAGAATCTGACTCTGGAAATATAAGTTTAAACATAAATTTTGTCATAAATAGGTGACAGAGGTTTTGGAACACAGTTCTAGACGTAAACACAGTTAAAAAAATAAAAATAGCAGATTTTCTTAAGGGGAACCCATGAAACCCCCTCCTAATGTTAATCACCCCTGTTAGCCCTTCACAACGTTCTAATCTAGAACCACCACTAATATGACAACCCCTACATGGGATCAGAGGCTGTATAGAAAATGTTACTACTATAAATAAACAATTTAAACAAATAAATGTCTTACCTGTTCACCGCTGGATTTATTTATTACGTAATAGAGAGATCTGTGACCACACTCCAATGCATTTTACGAATGTTGGTTAGAGGTACGCAAACTTGAAATCTGACTAGGCCTAGAGTCGGTTGATCAGGGTATGAACCTGCAAAAACGTTAAAAAGCATTAAG